AGAGATTTTCTTTCTTCTTCCTCTGAAACGAAAAAGCTGTCACATTACAAGTCTGAGAATTCTCTGAAAAATATGTTTGAATTATTTTGCAGTCAGTGGAACCCCCACAGGACAGGCAAAGTGTTCTTGGGGTCCGTCTTACTGGTGTCAGAACTACAAGCAAGCTTTGGAGTGTAATGCATTGGAACATTGTCGTGCCAACGTTTGGGCTGTGAAAGATGAGGTGATCAAACATATTTTTAGTGATATTTCTTTTATATTCTTTTTGTGTGGTGAAGTGCCCCGAGTACCAGAGGTTTTTTCTCGCACACAGCAGACAGAAATACTTCGCTTCACTTCAGCGACCGAAGGCCACCTGTGTGAGCAGCGAAGCCGCAAGAAAGTCTCTGGTACAGAGTGGTTTCATTCTCCATTCTCGTTGAACTTTGATCAATTTTATCGGATTACATTTAAACCAATCACAGGGAGCATCTCCCACTGTGATCACATGGACAGGCACATGTAGACATGACATGCCCACGGATGACATGACAGATCTGGTCTGATTTGAATTACGTGGCTTCCATGGGAATAAAAACTACTCCGTGAAAAAGGTTCCTAATTCAAAGTTTTCACTGTCGTGGCGTTTATTTGACATTTATGTTGTGTGTAATGGTGGATATTACAGCCTTGTATCGGAAATGTTCAAAAACTGAAAATTTTCGAAAGAATCTCGACACTTTTCACTTTCAAGAATGACAATCTGTCCGTCAGGCACGTATTTTTTGTAAGAAGTGCTACCAACAGATCGAAAAATTTGAAGCGACTGTCAAAGAAGTTGCAAATTTAAACTGAGAGCACTACAAAAAGAATCTTGCTTGTTGGAAAGGAGAAGCTACATACGGTGAAAATATGCATTCAAAAGGCAGTTCCAGCGCACCTGGGACACATTGTGTAGTTCAACACAGAGTCCAGGAATTAGTTGAAATGACAACGATTTCCTGAATCCCGTTGGCAAACCACCAAAGCATCCTTGCTGCGAGTAAAATTCGCAATTTCATCTCTTTGCTTGCCGCTTAAGTTGTCGTCACCGTTAAACCTTTTGACAACTTTTGCTATGGTTTTGTCCAGATCTTGATCTTTCACTAACCTTTCAGCATGTGAACAAACATCACCTCAAAATCTGCCATCTCAATCGTCACATCACGTGACAAGCACATTATTCGCAACATTTCACAGGCTTATGTTCTCTATTCTTAGAAACCAATTCCCGTGTCTGCTAGATTAGAAAACCTTTTGGAGGTTGTTAGGGGCCAATCAACTTTCTATTCCAGATTCTGGACTAGATAGATTTAAACTGGCTTGTCATTGGCTCGGCACTATCATATAAATCGCGCTCTGCTCCAGAGGTTTCTTGCGCGGGTCACAATATAGAGACATGAGCGGCACAGGAAACAGCGCAAGAAAAACCTCTGGCACCCAGGGTAGTGGTGAAGCAGTGCAAATTTAAACTGCAGTACTTGCTTGTAATTCTATCATGATCAATTTTACTGACCCAGGTCTTAGAACTAAAACAAAATTGCTGGGCAATCTGTATGAATTATTTAAAACAGAAACATTTTTGTGTGTTGAAAGAACTATTTAAGGCACTGTGAATAAACACTGGAAATGTTCTGTAATTTGATGTGTTTTTTTGTTGTTGTTGTAGGAGGCTTGTAATATCTGTCAACAAGTTGTACCAATGATCAGAGACTTCTTGGCCAAAAACACAACCCAGGTAAGTTATGTTCAGTTGCTAATTGTTTATGTTTATTCATTCTGTTTCCATTCCACCCTGTCTTTGGCTAACACTCTCTCAGTGTACCAGTCATTCTGTCCTGCCATCTCTCTGCTTTTACTGTCCTTCTCCAGGTTTTTTTTAGGTTTTTCTATTGCTCCTTCACTCTGGTCTGTACCCTAGCACCACCATGCTCTACCACACACCTGTTCTACCTCCCCTAATTCTAATCTTTTCAAACCTTACTGTATTCATTTGTAAAACTATGCATTGCAATGCATTCAGACATGAACCTGATCTTCCTTCCATGGTATCATGCTGTGTTGATAAATTTTCAGGCAGAAGTTGTGACCTTGGCAGAGCAAGCTTGTGAAGATATTGCTGGACCATTAGCACCAATGGTAAGAGTTTTGAATAGTAATGATCATTTAATTATTATGGAACCTATCATAGACAGAGTAGACTAACAATGTTAGAGTTACTTCAGGCTCCTCTTACCTTACCACTCTCTTCAAACTTCTCTTATTCAATGCTCCTTCAAACATGGACTATGACCCAGTGAAACTAGAAATTCGATAACTGTACTGTGTACAAAAGAAGAATAATGTTGTATACAGCGGGGCAAATGATAAAAGTGGAGAGCAAATGGAAGACAAGAAACTCGCTGAATTTTCACAGTCTGGCACTCCATGAAACAGATGAGATATTGTCATAAGAATTTTTTGATGGTTGATTAGTGTACTCACAAAAAGGGCTCATCATAATTGTTGAAAGACTTCAGTTTTCACACATTTTGCCGCTGACCCCATCCCTGTGCAATGTTGACAATACACAATAGACACATGAATGCACTTTGCCTTTTTCCAACATTGATAGTGGGGAAAGAGGTTTTGACAAGTTTTTACATGTTGGTACATGGGGGAAATTTGAAACATCTGACACTTCTGCACTTGTTTCAACTTAATATGACCAAGTTTGCAGGGCTGTCATTAAGGGCTGTTACCCATAACACCTCTTACGGCTGAGTATGCTTGATTTTTCGTACATGCTACGGGCAAAATCACCAGTTGTTAATAGAATTCACCCACAAAGTAGAATGATTGCTACAGGCGTGAAGGACAAGGCTACATGTGACTTAGAACTAAATGACAGCCCTGGCTTGTACTTGTAGGTTTAAAATAGTTACCTGATGAGTGTTCAATACGAGAATTGACCTAATTGAATTGAATTGAATGCAATCAATGCTGCAGTTCACCTTACCAATTGGTGTTTGATATTGTTCTGTAGTGCAAGTCTGTGATTGATAAGTATGAACCAGTGATTTGGGACAGTGTTTTGGAATTGATGGTAAGCATTAATTAAAAGTTACTGTTTTATTCTGTGTGTTTCTGTGATTGTCTTTAGCACATTAGTGGACTAAAAAAGTTAGAAAGTAAAGATTAACAGGAAGTAATGCTAAATTCTGTGATTACTGTAAACCCTCGAATTAGCACCTCCCCTCAAACAAGCGCCTCCTTCGAATAAGCCCCCTTCTTATCGGCCAAAATTTATTATTTAATAAGGCCTCTCCTCAAATAAGTACCGCCCCTCGAATAAGTGCTGCCCCTCGAATAAGCATCCCCCTCCTGGTCAATGATCAGTCCAAATTATTGATATGGATGAGGCTGAGGACAAGATCTAAATTGGTATTTTAATTTGGGATCATGTGCACTGAATGGGTTAAAAATGTACATGCAGTATAAGATTGTACATTGTTGCAGTTTGTGAACACGTTGAGTTTGGAAAAATAATTACAAGTACCAACTGTGCTACGATTAACCCATTGACTCCTGCATGAAATTTCCCTCGACCCAAACCCTAACTTCCCTGGCATTTTTGTGAAATATTTCAGAGCGGGCAAAAGCACAAAAATAAACCATATGCACAGTAACCACAGACACAAGATCAGGTTTCTTCAAGACATCGTTTATTTAAAGTTGAATAAATGAAGGGCCAAAATAATAAAAAGTATCAACAAAAAGAACACAACTTGATCTGTAAAACTGATAAGAAAACAATAAATTACATTTTTTTTTTTTTCTCTGCCACACAACAAAAGCCGAGGAAATTGATTACGCAAAAATTAATTTTTGACTTCAGAGGACAAAACGAAACTAAATACAACAGAATTTCTACTCTTTTACTATAATGGATAACATTTGATAAAACACCAGAAAATAATGGCGAAAGACGCATGTAAAAACCAATTTAAAAACAAGAAATCAGATAATTTCTTCGCCACGAGACAAAATAATACAGCGCAGCGAAAGAAAGATGAAAGTTGTACATCAAAAAGACAAGAAAAACAAGCCAATGATTTTGAGATAAATCGCATTTCAAATGTGTTAATTTAGCTCCCACGTAGTTCTTTTCTCAGGGGTTCTATAGCAGCTGAATAAGACTCAAAAAAATATATTTGAACGAAGTGAATAAACTAAACAAACAAACCACGAGGGTCGTCATAAATTAAATATGCAGAAATCCAGCGTGCAAAAAATACTGTTCACTTTTAAAACCTAAAATTCGCAAATAAAGGCAACTAAATGAAAGACACGTGACAGGAAGTTCAATAACAATAAATTTTAATTCAAGATGAGGCAAAAAATACTTATCTAAAAGTATAAGAATGTTCAAAATTTTGCAGACGTGCTTCACTGCATGACCGCACGTTCAAATAAATTCTTCACGCTAAGGCGAAAGCTTGAGATTTTGCCCACAACTTTTGCAGTTATTTTATTGGCCGTGGCTTTACCAATTGTTCTAAAAATTGAATTCCACTATGAAATAATACTGTACATTACAATATTTGTTTTCCTAAGTCCAGGAAGCTGCTTTAAATCCGTGATCTGTATTCAAAACTCACTTGAAAGCGTACCAATCGTCACTAGAAAGGTTTGAGGACTCTGAACACCTTGATCTTCCATTCTGAGGCCACCTAAACATAAATTTTTTTCCTTTCCATTTTAAGTGCCGAAGAAGTAATTTCACTGTTTTAGGAATGAAAACAAGACCCTGGAAGTTTGTAGATTTGGCCCGCAACGCGCCATGATTACTTGCACTTTTCGAGCGTGTGATTTTAGATGAAAAACCGTCTTTCTAGGACCCCTAAAGTCCTCTAAAAATATGCTCAGTAAGTCTTTTCTCATTGGTTTATTTGTCCTTAACAACAATAGAACAATAGGAGAACCAAAACGTCTTCAGGGAGGGTAGGAAAGGCAATTGTCCTCACATTCTTTTTCACGTCTGGTTATGGCCGGCACAGGAAATAAGGGCTGGGTTTTCGCATGGCCGGTTACGGCTGGCACAGGAGTCAATGGGTTAAAACTTGACGATCAGCTTTGAATGCTGCACTGTATAGAGCTTTTGTTGTCATTTATGTGTAAATGTTGTATTGCAAAGAAAACTATCATGTATCTCGCTACAAGTTGGGAAAAATTAAATAATTGCCTCCCCTCGTTCAAACGCCTCCCTTCATATAAGTGCCCCTCATCTTCTCCTAAATTTGAAATAAGCGCCCCAGGCGCTAATTAAAGGATTTTCATTATGTCAGATAACTATTGTCCATGCTATCAAGTAACGGTAAAAAATGTCAGGAGATCATCAGTGAAATGTGGGCACTTGTACAGGATACAAAATTAATAAAAATACTGTATATCAAGTCGCCATTTTGCAACCAGTTATGAAAAGTTAGTCGCAAGTTCAAAAATTTTTGCTGCAGATAAACATATTAAGTTAATTATTAAAAATCACATTCATGTTAAAAGCATAAGTTTACAAATGATTCACAGGGCTCTGATATTATTATTTCAACAGCTTTATGTCACTTCAAACAGATCAAGAATGTGCATGTATAAGCTTACAGTGTGCGTGTACTCTTGAACATGAAATATTTTTCACTGTTTACTTGATTTACAAACGTTCAATCCCGTACAAAACTAAATTAAGTTTGGGATCAAATTGAAGACATCCAGCTTCAAGAACTGATGCAATCTTGGGATATCTCTGAATTCTTTACCTAAACCAATGTACACTCTATCTTTGCAGGCATTCTGTTATAAATAAGCTCTATCTATACATGTAGCTTCAAATCTGGGGTAGCATAATCAACTAAAACAGTTGAGGTACATCGTTATCAAATCTGTAAATCTTTGCAACAACAAACATGCTTGACATGGGCGTCTTTTGGGACCTGCCAGATAAATGGTGTGACCTCTTGCTCTAAAACCTTAGCTGACTTAGCTGGAACACTGGTTTAGGCCCAATGAGAACACGGCTTAAGAAAAAGGATATTGATTTCATTTTCATATTTTCTGGAGAACACTTCTTTAATTTCATTATTTTAATCCATGTCACCATATTTCCACTTATCATTTGATGTAACTTGTGAAGCTTTATCTTTTTTTTTTTTTCCTTTTCAGGCTGATCCCAAGCAAGTGTGTACCGCACTGGGTCTTTGTGATTCCAAGAAGAGCAAGAAAGTTGATGCCAAGCTTGTCACAAGAGCTTTACCTTTGAAAAATCACTTGAAAACGATCCTGGCACCAGTTCTTGTTGCTGCAAAACCCAAAGCCACTGTCATCAAATCCAAGCCTTTTAAGACTTCTGCTGAATGTATATTGTGTGAATTTGTTATGAAAGAACTTGACAGTATACTACAGGAGAATGCCACCCAGGTATGGAAACATGTAGTTTTCATGTCAAAGAAGTTTTCTTTTCAGAAATGGCAATTATTGACAGCTGCTATTAAAAAACACTTGAAGATACCAGCATTATAGTGGCTGGCCAAATAAGAAAAAAATAAGAACATACAAAAGAACATTACCCTAAAATATTATCCCAGGGGGTTAGAAAGAATTTGCATGTAAAGACCGAACATAAGAGGTTAATAACTTGTTTATTATATGGCTTTTTGCTCTGTCTTTGCAGACCCATAATAGACCCATGGGCATTGTGGAAGAATAATGCCCTACAATTAGCCAATCAGCATCTATGATTTCATGTATGCATGTAATAAATGTGGTTTATGATTTCAACATGGTGGACCTCAAGGGTGGAATCTGCATGTATCTATTCCTGGAAATCCTAGGTCCAAAGTGTGGAGATGTTTTGGTTTCTCAATACAAGAGAATGAATTCACCATTTCTACCAATTGTCCAATTGCTCCATTCATTAGTAACTCAGACTGAAACTTGAAAATGCACGAGATATAATAATTTATTATTTTACATATCATCAGTGAATTGTTGAATACATTGACCATTTTACCAATAAATGATATATTTTAGAAATTGCACAGAATCATGCAGATGATAAACCATTTGTTCAGCTGATACGAGTCTTAATTTGATGTAAAAGCACATCCACTGTTGTGTATTGGACAATCCTCCAGTAAAGTTATTTTGTTACTTGGTTACCCTCTCTTTTAATAATACCTAAATGTTGTACATGTATGTCTTAGACCAGAAGATATATTGATTTTTCTGGGAGATAAGAGTGACCACTCTTGCTTATAGCGTACTTTTTGATGTGGTACATGCCTTGTCCCACACAGAATATTGCCCTTCCTGCCTAGTAATGTCTGACATTTTGCCAAGCAGCACAATGAAATTAGTTCATCCAGGGAAATCTGATTAGCTTGTCTGTTGATGAATAAATGGAAAGTAAAATTAAGGATTTAACAGAGGTGACAATAAAGATGTAACGATCTACCCTTTGCTGAGATCATTCATCCAAACAGCCATCATGGTATTGATCACTTGATGAATTATTATGTTAAGAGTTAAAGGAATTGTTGTCCAAACACTCTACAACTGAAGGGTGAAGATGTACATGTTATTTATAATGTTTGCATTATTTTTCTAAACAGCAAGAAATTGAAGAAGCTTTGGATGAAGTGTGCAGTTTGCTTCCTGACACAGTCAAGACAGAGGTGAGGAATAATTGTCAATTCCCATTACACTAATCGCCTTGATCAGCCGTCAGTCTATTTAGTGCCTGTTCAATCATGCCATTCTGGAAGGAACTTTGTCTGTGATGAGAATTATAATGTTTTTCAAGGTAGAACAAGAAAAAATATGTCTGGTCATCAATGTTGATTAGATCAAGGTTGTCAAAAAGGGTTTTGTTGTTGTTGTTGTTGTTTTGGGCAGTGTGGTGGCCTCATGGTTAGTGTCCTCGCCCATGGATCAAGCAGTCTGGGTTTGAACCCTGGCCAAGGACCCATTGTTGTGTTCTTGGGCAAGACACTTACAATGTAACTGTCACAGTGTCTGTCTCCACCCAGGTGTATAAACAGATACCAGCAATTTGAAAGCTGTGGGTCACCCTAAAATGAAATATTATCCCATCCAGGAGGGAGTAGAGATACATGTACTCCTAGTCACTTTGTGCTGTGTAGAAACTGACAATAAACACCAGCCTAGTGGACCACCTGCCAGAAAGCTTTATTGTTGGAGGAAGCAGCTGATCTTGCTATCTTTTTCTAAAGAATACAAGAATATCCTGGTAGAGTAGCTAGCTGAAATCATGAAGAAATAGTTCTTTTCACAGGCAGCCAGCTACTTACGTCAACCTGGCAGGTGGAATATCCTGTTTGGCCCTCTTTAAGTTTTCTCATCACAGTTTTCTGCCTTGTAATGTGAAGTTGTGTGAAACCTATTTTAATTCACTTGTTTTAATAGTGTGAGCAGTTTGTTGACCAGTATGCACCTGCCATCATTGCTATTCTTTCTCAAGAACTTGATCCATCAGTGGTCTGTACCACCCTTGGACTTTGTGACAGTAACAAGCACAGCAAAGGTACTGAAACTATGCATAGTAAGCAGAAAGATAGTTTGCTTTGAACGGTGATTGTGAAATCATGTTTAAAGTGGTGTTAAGAAGATAATGATGATAACATATTCTGTGACAAAACTCTTGTAACTTCAAGGTGCAAAGAAAGTTTTGTTCTGCTTGTAGATTTTCCAGTCGGGCCTTTGCTCTCCCAGTGGGCAAGTGAAGTTTTTTGGGGAACTTTTTTCAGGGAAAATCAGAGAAAAGATTTATTGTAAGAGATGGACTTATAAAATTAATTTAATTTAAATTAGTACATCATAGCGGAGCTCCGGCGGCCCGCCAAGCAGAGCCCCATACCCATATAGGAAAGCAAAGGAAACCCATAAATGGATTTTCTCATGGTTAGCATGGCTAGCAGTATTGCTCCTGGGCGTGTACGCACGAGGACAACAACGACAGAGTCGCGCAAGATGGCAGCCATACTCCAGCTAATAGGTTGACAGTGACATGCAGCCTTCTTTCATAGCATACTTCTTTGATATTGGACATCCATGTTATGGTCAATTGACATCTGTCAAAACAAGGGATCTGCTGACCAGGATCATGTGACCATATCTCAGGCTCAAGTTCAGAGCTCTTCGAGGTCACATGTTTTTTTAAAGTTGACCGCTGATCAAGTGCTAGTTTTTGGTTGAATTGTGGGCTGATGTCAGTTTAACTTGTTGTAAATAGTTGTTTGGAAGCTGGCTAAATCTAACCCAGAATTAAAAGTTAACTAAAGTACAATTTTTTCTTGTATAGAAATGTTTTTTACTGCTTTTGCTTTGTGTAAATTGAGATTATTCAAACTCAAAACAGAAGGCCAAACAATATACAGAAAATTTCACCACAAAGTTACAAAACTCAATCAAAATTCTCGCTTATCCTCGGTTAGCTTTATCGAGCCGGCCCAGGAGCCCCGCTTTTAGGTTTGGCTAAATTTATATATTACTAGTAAGGAATCTTTTGGTTCTAGTGAGAATGACTGTTGGGCTAGTATAACATAGTTTCACCTTGATCAAATGTTAAGCTTGAAAACTGGTTTTCTTAAAACCCTGCATCTGCTTGTAAGAACATATCTCCATTTCATAACAAGAACGTCAAGAAGATTTGGTCACCATTTTTTAGCCATCAGGCTTTCTGTGGTTCTTTTCATGGGAATGACATAATTTGTTTTGACTGTGAAGCATAAATCACAAAGCTTAAAGGGACATGATCACCCTTTGAGACTACATTCTGGACTTACATATGCAACTATGCAATTCTATTCTTCAGACCCTTTTTTACTGATAAGAAACAAAAAAGTTCAAGCAAATATTATTTGAGCCATCATGTGGAACGTTGTAAAGGGTATTATGATGACATTCTCTAAAAATATTTTGTTCCTGTTATATTGAGTCTGAAGCTTGGCAAAATTCATGGCTGCATTTAATCGCAAGAATACAATGTAAAAGGATGTTAATTTATTTGTCTTGAAATCATGGTCATGGTCAAGGGGGTTTCATTAAGGACCAAGCACTGTGAAAATTGACTGCCTGTGAGGACATTTCTGCCTGGCTGGTTTGACCATCTAGCAGAACGTTTTTCTCATAAAGAAGGACAGTTTTGGAAAATAGTTTTGCCAGCCTTGAAAACCAGTTGCCCTCCTGATGGCCATGGACTCTAGATCTTAATCAATTCCAAAGCAGTTTTAATTAGTATCTCATACTAAGGTTTGCCCCTGGAAAGCCCTTGCTGAAATCATGCTGAAGAAGTGAAATGCAAAGTCACCATGACCAATACACAGGGGCACCCAACGACCACTTTATCTCAAATGCTTTTAAATGCTGTTTTAGGCTATCTGGAGTACTTTTAAAGCTCTGTAGGTTAATTTTAGGTTGTGCTAAAAAAAATTTATCTGTTCGGTTATTCTAGGGGAACTTGGGTATTCTCGAATTTATTAGGGCTTTTTTGTCCATTCCCCGAAAACCTTAGGTCTTATCCCCTTTCCGAAAATAATAACTAACCTTTTTTCAGTGCCCAAAACGACATTTTTTACTATCCGAAAACAACAGACATTAAATTTCTCATATCACGAAAGTTCAAGGGGACAATCCTCTCAAGAAAATCAGAGGGGATTAAAGGCCTTCCGAACAGATAATTTACCGAGATGATCCGTTGGGCGCCCCTGAATACATAGTTATCAAGCCATTTGCTATTTTTGGCCACTTGGAGAAACACCAACATTGAAACGTCTGTTGACACTTTCAAGATTGAGGTTGAAAGGTTACATCTCCATCACTCATGACGATTGTTGTCCCTGTCAATTTATTTTTATTTTTTATTGCTTTGTAGTCATGGAAAAGACAGTGACTTTTGTTCCAGGAAGCAATCAAACATGTCAAATCTGTGAAGCAGTTATGACTTACGTGAAGAATTTGCTTGCTGACAACGCCACCCAGGTACCTTGTTAAATTACATTAATTGCAGATTCTCAACTATGTACATCGTCTTTGTTCTTGAAAGAGATGTCTGTCAAGTAGGTTGGAAACTGATGCCATGTAGTTATGACAATCAGTAATATGTTAGGGTTCGCTTTCCCATTTACCTTCACGTAATTGATTATTATTAGTTACCAAGAAGTGCAGGAGAGAAAGGAGTACCTCTTAAATTTTACTATCAAATGGAATGTTCTTTCCTGTTCAACTTTTCAATATTTTGTTGCTGTGCTTGGTTTCTTTGATTGGCAGTTCTTCTATGCTTTGATAAACTCGAATCAATCTTTGCTTTTTTTTAATCAACCTTTATTGTTGTTGTGTTAAATGTATGTTTTTCAGCAAGAGATTCTTAGTCTTCTTAAAGAAGGGTGCAGCTTGCTGCCATCTCAGCTCTCTGCCGAGGCAAGTTAACATTAATATTGTATAAAGACAGGAAAAGGGATGTGTCTAATAGGTGGGAGCCAGGTAAAATACCCGCTGTCAACACTATTTTCCTGGGTGAAAAACAATTTACAATCTTAAAAGTATTAATAGCGGAGCTCCTTCGTGCGAGTGGAACCCTATACCTTAAAAAATTTGGTAACCCATCAATCTCAAAATTGTTGGTTGTCACGTGACTGTCAGTACATAGTCTGTACGTGCGCCAAGCCCCGTACCTTGAAAAATAAGAGTAGCACCATTACCATAGGTACATCATTGATATTGGACATCCATGTTATGATTGACAGCTGTCAAAACAAGGTATCCGCTGACTAGTATCCCGTGACCATATCGCTGGCTCAGGTCAAGGCTCATAGAGGTTGCATGTTTTTGTAAATTGACCGCTGACCAGACATTGGGTTTTCGATTGGATTGCGGGATCAAGCCAGGTTTGTACTCTGAGGGAGAGTGAGGAAGTACATGCAGTGGCAAAATCTCGGTGCAAATTAAACCCTGATGTGTTGTTGACTTTTCTTCCGACATATTCCTTGTACAATCGTATCTTGGAAAGTCCTTGACATGTTGCATACGTAATTTCTACTTTGGAACACTCATTACAAGCCTGCTAATAACAGTCAGTCATTGGACAATTGTCTGGTAAATTTAAGGTTTTGACAGGTAAAAGCTTAGCCTGGTCGGACACTCTGACCGGGCATTTCTGCTAAAATGAAAAATATTTTAACTGGAAATTGGTGGCCGAATATGGGACAAGTTATTTTGTTATACTGCCACACAATACTACGCAAAAAAGCTTTGTTATCGGTTTTGTTTTTATTCCAATTCTAATAATTTTATCAGGTGCAGTGCATCGTCTCAAATGTTATAATTATGTCGAATTGTAAACACATCACATTAGCGCCACTATCCCTACATGTTAATTTACACATTTTGCGGTGGCGTTGTGAAAGATCGTGAAGCCCCATTTAGTCTGAATTACGTTCATCTGAAAAACTACTAAAAACTGAGGTCTTATGTAATTACTC